ACTGAATGTATCCTCGTATGCATCAAGAAGCCACACATCGTGTTTTGAATCGACGCTGCCATCCGTGTTAGCTGCCTCGTCAACCCGCAAATTGGGTATCATGACATTTTAAATATGCATATGAATGTGGGCTTTTAAAATGTATATGAAGGTGGGCCTTCATGAAATTGATTTGAAATTAATCATAAGCTCAATCAAATGGGCTTGAATTCACTCTCAATTGGTCTTAGACTGATGAAATTTAGTGTGGTTTTGAAACTGGAGGAATTTGAAATGAATTTGATGGAAATTGGAGGTGATTTGGTGACTTTGTGATTTAGGGGTAATTTGAGAAATTTGATCAATTTTGGTAACTTTGGGTGCAATTGGGGTCATTGGGTGATTAGGATTGATCTTGAGAATGTTTGGAGTGAATTTGGAGATTTTGGGAATTTTTGGGACATGAGGGGCATTTTGGTAATTTTGGGAATTTGGGGTACTTTGAGAATTTCGAAAAAATTGGGTTATTTTGGGCAATTTAAATATTTGGAATGTTCCAATATTATTTTTGAGTGGAAAGTGATAAACTGGGCAATTTTAGAAAATTTAGGGTTCTAGGGGCATTTTTGTAATTTTGGAAAGATTTGGGTAGTGGAAGGTAAAAAATTGGGTGTTTTGGTGGTACTGAGGTTCATTGAAAATGCTAATCAAAATGATACACTTTTGATGCCATGAGACCAATAGAAACCCATTTTGGACCCTCTATGTGTTGGTCCTAGCCATTTTACTCAAAGGTTAGGGGTTGGGGACCACCCACATGAGTTTCCAAAAGAGTGGGGAACCATGCTAATTGTAGGTGATTTTATAGTTTTAGGTTGTGAGTGAAATTGCAGTGACGTGTGTGTGAAAGCCTGATCAAGACAAAGCCACCCAGAGCTAACCCTAATGCTTTTCAATTCTATGGGGACTTTTCTTGAGCTCCCTCATCATGGTTTCATCCCACTATGTGCTCGTGGCCAAAACCACACATGTAAAACCCAAATGTGCAAATGGAATTTCTATTTATAGGGCTATTTTCCTCTCTGTTCGACAACCTTTGCTTGTTCCTAGTAATTCCTAGATTTGGAGTTCCCTTCTCAATCCTCCCATCTCCTTCTTTTCTTGGAGACTTTTGCACAAACTGATTTCCATGAATTACATACTTAAAATCAATGGTTTAGGGCTCTCCTCCATTTGGCACTTGTGCAAGTATGAGAAGGAGTTTCTTACATTTTTTGTCTTGCAAGTTTGCTGTTAGAGGAAGGTTGTTTCTCTATATTTTATGTCATTTCCTAGGAGGGGCTATCTATCTCTCCTTGTCTATTTTACTAATTGGAGACATGGGACTCTTGTCAACATCATTACACATGTTTTCATTTGCTGGTTTCTTTAGAATACAGAAAACAATCTTAAACACGCCAACAAATTAAAGGACCCTAATACTACCTTTACAGAATTTTTTCATATCTTCACAAAGTTCTCAAATACGACAAACTCAAAAGTAAACATTTGTAAAATCCTAACGGTTTCCCAAATGGGATCTCCCTCACTAATCAGCCTCCTAGACTTTCCCAGGCAACCTGACTAACATTAGATAAAGGTAAATGTGGATGGTAATTTCAAATTTTAATGTGTTGACATTGGTGGGGTCTTCCAAAATCACATGGGTGCTACTTTGACATTCTTCTCCTCCCCATTTGATGATATAATACCCCTTCAGGTAGAAGTTAATACTATTTTTACTACTCTCAAAATTGCTATGACTATGGACTAGATAATACTACAAGTTGAAATGGATTCCTTGCTTTTATAATGTTTAACTAGAAATGGACATGTTCATCGACAAATTCACCTTTCTTTGAAACAAATTGCCCACATATCCAAGTATCTCTCTATTTCATGGCCACACATCCATAGGAAGGGCAACCAACCTACTGGCTGGTTTGCTAATTTAGGTGCTTCTTCCCAAGCTGTCACTTTCATTCTTCTCCTCCTCTTTTTCTGTCATTTTTGTTTCATGGTGATAGGCTCAATCTCCCTTTTATTAGAACTCCCATCGTTTTATTAATATTCACCTTTTTCAATAATAGAAGTTTGCTTAAAAAACAAGATCTTAACAATCTTCTCTTATATGTTCGAGTTTTTTTGTAATGATAACAAATGATTGCTTCACTAACATAATATTTTCTTAGTTGGTATTTTATAATTTTTAGATTTTTTATATGTTTGATTTATCTTTTTTAAATTCTAGCAAGTCTTCTTAAAAACACAACCACCACGTTATTATCAATAGATAAGCTTGAAATTATTGGCTCGTCATTGTCATAAAGTTGTAAGGCAATGGTTTTAGCTTTTTCCTACTCATTATTTTTAGAGCTATCAATATTCTCACTTTGAGCTTTATTCATGTGTCATCAAACACCCCAAAAGTTGATCAAATGGTTTAATACCTAAATCTTTAGCCTCACTAATTGATGTTACTTTAGCATCTCATTTTTTAGGAAGGCATCTAAGAATCTTATAAACTAAACATTGGTTCTTATATGTTATTTCAAGCTATTGCACTCTATGATAATTTTTATAAATCTAATATACAGATGAAAAAATAATTCATAATGGGACATACAAAGATAACTCAAATTTATGAACAAATTTATATATGTGAGCTCCCTAACCCCATTAGCTCCTTCATAAGTAATAATTAATTTATCCCTAATATCTTTTTCCATAATTAACATAAAAGTTTCCATGTAATCATTTAGAAGAAGTGCACAATGTAAAGTATTATATGCTAGAGTATTTAATTAATCTAACTCTCTTGTTAATACAGTTCATTCCTCAAAATGTTTTTCAATTTTAATTGCATTTATTTTTCTAGTGTGAGTATGATATTAGTGTGTAAGCATATGTGTGTGGTTTGTCCTCTTAAGAATATATTGATCATTTTCTCCAATAATCAAAGGGAACATTATTAAGCAATACTGGATGTTGAGTTGATTATTCTTTAGGAAGTGAACCCCTAGGAAATCCTTAGTCATAGTTTAAATGTGGATCTTTTCAGGAATGTTAAATCAAAAGAAAGGGCAGAGGCTCTGATATTAATTGTAAGATGACTATGACACCTAAGAGTGAGGTAAGTTGATTTTTTTTTAAGCATTTTGATTAATTAAATATTTTAAATTATTTTTATTTTACTCTATAAGAATATTATCCAACAGAGAAGTTAAAAACTTGCAAGTAAATTAAATAGCAAGATATCACAAGTGTAAATACAAGAAATAGCAAACACGATATTTTATATAGGTTCGATCAACCAAGCCAACATACACGCTAGCCAACTCTCAAACTAGAAATTCACACTTCTTCAAACTGAAGAAATTGCCTATAACTCTTACAGAGGCTAAGTACAACTCAATCCAAATATAATGATTTTCTAAGCCAAATGACTTGATAAAAAAAGAAGTAAACATTTTATAAATTATATAAGCTCAAACAATCTTTCAGTAAAATAAACTAATAATTAGAGATGTAGTTATAATTTGTTGTTAATCGCCTTATAACTTAAAAGATGAAATGAAAATTTTGGTCACTATAAAATATATTTATACTTTGATTTACATGAATATCATTATCACATTTTTAAATATTTTTCCTATTATTTTTAGGTTTAGAAAATAGATCAATATTACAATTAAAATAACTTGCTTGCTAACATTGTGAATGAAAGAGTTTAATCATAGGAGACTTATTCTAATATGCTCAAATAATATTTCATTCAAAAATAAAGATTTTTGGAAGATATAGAAGTTTAGAAGTATAAGAGTAGCAAATAAGGATAAAAAGAGAAGGAAACAAATTCAAAAACTTCAAGAAAATTTGCTTTATTGAGTACATTGAGCCTTCCAAATTAAGAAATTCGATGTATTAGTAAGAACGTACGCTTCATTTATTAAGATTTTGATTAAGTAAATAAAAGAAAAAGATAAGGAAAATTGAGACTTCAAGAAAGTCATTTCATAAAAAAAATAAAAGATTTTAAACTAATTTTAATGCATAATATTTTTCAAACAATATTATCAAATAATAATATAATTTTTACTAAAAAATTAATTTTTATTCTATTTATTACTAAATGCTGATTTTAAACTAATTGTAATGCATAATATTTTTCAAACATTATTATAAGAAAATAATATAATTTTTACTAAAAAATTAATTTTTATTGTTATTATTAAATCCAAACTACTAGCCAATGGTTTGCTAAAATAAGCAAGTCAAAATAACATTTAACCATATCCAAGTGGGTATATAACAACTAGTGAGCTTAATAAAAAAAATAATAATATTTGAAAAATCATAATAAATTTAATTTTAATTAAAAATAGGTTATAAACCCATCAATTTGTACCTGCAAAAACCAATAAAAGTAATAAGTATACTAACGATTTAATAATTAATGATAAGAATGAGATAGTTGCAAAGGTAATAATTTTATTATTTATATGACATTTTTAAAACAAATTAATTAAACTTAAAAAAATATTAAATATTTTATTAAAGACTCATAAGAATTTCAAATATACTATAATAAAATAGATTTTTCTCTTAAAATACCCCAATTATAAAATTTTAATAATTTAACATCATGCATGAAATATTAAAGAAAATATTCAAATAATAAAAATATAATAATATATATTTAAAATTTATTATTCTTAATTAATGATTAATTAAATTAATATATTTATTTGTGAACAAAAACAAACCATACAAAATACTACTCCTTATCTCCTAAAGATTATATCTTGAGCTCCAAACTATCTATCTTCATCCAACCTTTGGCTCTTATAAAACCATCACACATGAAACACTTAATCCATAATATTAGATCATCCAAACCTATTTTTTTATCATCATAATTAATAAAATAGATCACAAGACCCTTGAAAGACAACAAGTTCAACTAACTGATAGCACAGTAATTGTAGATTCAACTTTTGCTCTGATCACTTTGGTTGAAAAAAAATAAAATGAAGTCCACTTACAAGAAAGAATTTACAAAATATCACTAGAAACTAGAAGGCAGAAGCTACAAGATGACAAATGTAGAAGTTTGATGTCTCAACGGAAAAGTCTAGGAACAGATTTTCTGGGCACTTTTCCTTCACGCCTAAGCCTTCTGTACGCCTCTCTAATGTGGCAAGGCCTAAGGGGTCCACTTTCCTTCCTTTCTCTCATAACAATTCTACCTGGAATTGACTTAACAATGATCAGAGCATGGGAAAAATACAGAAATTTTTAAATTTGATTGAATTAAGCTTAAGGAATGAAATTAGTTTGTTAATCTGTGTTTTAATTACATCTTTTAACCACTGGTTTTACAAGTTTAATTTTGTCAGCTCTAATGAAGAGAGCTCCTAAAAAGGATGATAGACAGATACTGATCCTGTGATTTCTAAATCAAAATGCAAGCAACAAAAATATTTTGAACATATGAAAATTGCATGAAACTCCCATCAATGCGAGCTCCTGAAAAGGATGATATACAGTTGCTGATCCTGCGATTTCTAAATCAAAATGCAAGCAACAAAAATATTTAATCAAATTACACAGCATTAAGACTACCATAAAATGAAAACTTGGAAGATACTGATGACAAAAATATGGAGTCCCGGGCTTATCTTGGTGTGCCGTAGGGCTATCAAAACGGCTCGTTGTTTGCGAATAGCTCGTGTTCGACTCGTTAAGAAGCTCGTTTTCGGCTCGTTAATTTCGTTTGATAA